AGGCAAAGCAAATCGAAGCAGCCAATCAGAAGGCGCTAAATCCCTGGTCGGGATATGTCGACTGGGAAAAAGAAACTCGCCCCCCGGGCCCCCCTAGCTTGGCCAGCACCTGCGCTGCTCGCTTTGCTAGGACCTCGAAACGTGCAAACACATCACAGAAAACATTTACCACCTTACAGACCTTTTTGGCCAGGGGAAACACTGCATTGAAATATTCCAGACTGAGGGTTCAAGAGACAACTCCTCATCGCATTGCACACATCATTCCTGAAGCTTGTTTACATGCTGCACATAGGCGATAATGTATTCGGTAACAAGGTATAAGGTAACAATTAAGTGACTACAAATCATGGTAGGTTGATACAAATTTATACTTTCTTAATACATTTTTTATACAATTTTGATACTTTTTTCTAGACAGATTTTATACTATTTTGTCATATCCTGAGTGGCAGCACTGCATAGAGAAATAATTGATGTGATCTCTTGATATTATCTGTATTTTTAAATTCAGTGGTTGTTTTAGGATATATGTTGGCACAAGTTGCCTTGGACCGCTGGTTGATTGGGTGGCATCGTTGCTATTTGGTACATGATATGTATTAAATTTATCAGGAATTATACAATATGACTTGCAACGTGTCAGCATGAGGCTTACAGCACGATATGTGCTGGCTGTTGTATGAATCTGTCAATGCCCGGACTTGAGGCAGGCAGATATTGATATTGATATTGAGGAAGTACAGGTTTCTCTACAAAATCATAAGGACTAAACAGTTAACATTTCTCAGTAATTGATTGGTTAATTGATAAATTGGCTTATTAATTTGTTTAATTGATAAGACTGGTTCCCATTATTAACTCAGCTGAATGCTGTTATATTTCAGTGGATATGCGTTACCGTGAGTTTCCATTTTTACTATGCATACAGGTTTCTTTTATCCTGAATCTGCGTGGGTCGCATCATGAACCTATTTCTATTTTGAATTTATATTGAATCACATATGGCTTCTGTGGCCCTTACAGTAACAGTAGGCTTATTTGCGTATACATTACAAGAGTCACTTGTAAGTAAAGGTGCTGCAGTGTGGTCGTGTTTTTATATGGGGTTACCAAGGCCCAATATTGGAAACGAGCATATACGTGATGTATATATAGCCGTTAATCTATGAGATTAGTATGTGTGTATCATATTGTTAAATGTGGTGTATAGAGTATTTTAAACAGTAATAGTGTGCATACTAATGCTATGTTGATATAGTGTGATTTGTATGTT